TGGACAAGTAACTTCACACTTCTGTGGGCCTCAGTAGCTTCACTGGTCAAACTGACAACAATGCCTATGTACTGCTACCCTGACAGGATGGCTGTGAAGATCAGATGATGGTAACTTACAATTTTGTAGGGCTTTACATAAATGATTATTCTTCCTCCTAGCCAAACCCCCAATATATCACTGTTTCACAGGCTTGAGGAGCAAAAGGATGTTCTCTTCTTGCTGCCTTCCCTGATCACATCAGGGCTTCCAAATCCGTTTCTATAGATTAGTTACCTACATCATCAGGACGTAACTAAATATTAGAACTTGAATATGACAAAAGCCATTTCTACAAAGAATCTAGGGATTTATAATCTGAGTCTAAAGTTCAAACCACATACAATAAACTGTGTGGAGAGGAGAAAAGACAAGAAATAATCAAATTGGATAAATTACTTAAAGTTGGCAAAAAGGGGGAAGATGCTACTAGAAAGCAGTTCCTATAAAAAGGGGCCAGGAACCCTAGTAGACTGCAACATTATTAACACTGTGAAATGGCAGTGCCAAAAGGTGAAAACCTGATGTGATTTTAGGTTTCATTAATAGAAGCACAGAACCGAGAAAACACTATCCTCTGCACCTGAGTATTGGGTCCACATTTTAAAAAGTGCATTGAAATTGGATGATGCCCAAAGAAGGAAAAGCAGTACAGAGAAAGGACATGAGGCAAAGATGAAGAAGCTGAGGATATACAGCTTGGGTTAAGTAAAGCCTGGCACAGGAAGTGAAGAGATGATCACTTTCTTCAAGAATTGGACTTATTCTGCTTGACCCAGAGGACACAAGTAGACCTACCATGTGGAAACTGTAGAAGGAGATATTTTGGCTTGGTCCAAGAAAAACTTTCAAAAGAATTCCCATTCTTAGAAGTCTTAAAGCATCAAGGAGGTGAGCCCTTTTCAAGGGATGTTGAAGAGGGCTGGACTAGATTTACCCTTGAGGTTTCCACGAGTTCGGAGATTTAATGATCCTAGTGAAGGTCCTAAGATCTCAAATACTCCCATTGAGGCAATAAGGTGTGGCACCTATTTTAAAGCACCTACTTCATGTAGAGGCCTGTGCTTAGTGTTGAGGAAAATACAAAAAGTTTAGATAGCAGAGTTCCTACTTACCTACCTTCATGAAACTTCTGGTCTAGTCTAGGGGTTGGACACACATAAATAACCCTAACAGACAATAATACAGAAAGGTATCTAAAAAGTGCAAAGTGTGGTGAGACCTGTTTGTTACTGATCTAGTGGTTCAGGGAAGGCTTCATGAAGGAAGTGGTGTTTGACTTGGGTTTTATAGAGGGGTAACAAATCAACAACTGAAGAAGGGAAGTGGAGAAGGCCTTCCAAGGGAGTGGGAAACAGGTTAGCAAAGGCATATGGGCAGGTAATTGTAAGGAGGTGTTTGGGTAACGTTTAGCTAGCATACAGTACATGGAAGAGATCTGAGTGAAGGTGCCACAAATTTAAGATGGCATCAGTCCATGGATCACCTTGAATTCCAGGCTGTGTGAAAGTAGTGTGGAGGTGACAGAGTAGAGAGAAAAGGTCAGGTGCCAGAGATGTGATATAAGGGAAATTAAGAAGACCTGGTAATTTAGTAATTATTAGAAATGAAAGACTTCCTCTTCTTGGTAAAGAGTAGGGAATGGAATGCTGCATGCGTTGTTAGACAAAGCCACTGTGCTGGTTGGTTTTGTTTAACTATTGTTCTTTGTTATGTTTAACGGAGGGTGGGATAGATGGAGAACTCTACCCAGAAATGTTGGTGATGTAAAAGCAAAAGGCATCAATAAAACCTTTAATAAAAACCAAGAAAGTGAAGGAGAGAGGACCTTGAGAACATGATAGACCCATCTGAATGACAGGGCCACAGAGAGAAATAATGAGGCCAGAAAATGCAGTCCAGACATAGGGCAAAAGAAAAATAGCTTTAGTTGACTTAAATCCTGGGAGTTGTGTTCCTTTGGGTGCTACTTTTGGATTTTAAGAGATAGGAAGAGCTTAGGATTGCTGATGTTTAGACATTAATAATTATAACAATCACTTACATTTCTATATTGTTGTTGTGACTTTTGAATCACCCCAAATGCCCTATATATAAAAGACTGGCAATGCAAGTATAAATATCATTTTTATAAAAAGGAGGAAACTATAAACTGAGGCCCAAAGACAGGAGATAGCTTTACCAAAGTCACGTGACTGATAAAGTAGCAGAGCTTTTTCAGAGTCAAATCCAGATTATTTGACTTCAAGAACAGGATACTTTTTATTACATAATGACGTTATTCTATCAAGCAGAGAATATCATAAAGCAATCTTTCCTACCTTTTTTTTTTCAGGTTGGGATGCACACTTGATGACTTGGGAGGTAAGGAGGGAAAGGCAGAATAATGTAGTAGAGAGAACAACAGACTAAGCTGTAGTCGTAGCTGTGGCATGGGGCAAGTCACTCTCCATTTCTGAGCCTGTTTCTTCACCTACAAGAAACTGATCTCTCAGGCCTTTTTCTGGACTAACATTCTGCTTGAAGGTCTCTTCACATGTTCCATGAGCCTAAGGATGAGAGGTTATACTCTCTGCCCTGCCACTAGCTTAGCTACCATCGCCCATGCACATGTCCTGCCTTCTACCACCAACCAGAGTGGTCAAACCACTCCCCACAAAACTTTCCTGCTACAAAGAGGAATCTATTCCTTGATAAGAAGCCCTGCCCCCAGCTCAGCAGGTGCTTCTGCTTCATCAATCACAGCTGTCACTTTGAGGGCAATGCTACTGACCTGACCCATGTCAGTAAGTGACCCAGACATCACAACAACACTTCCAGTAAGGTCCTGTTAGCTTGGTCTCCCTGCCAGGGGCAGGCAACTACTGTTCTCAGCAATTCTGAGAACAGCCCAAGGCGACAGTCAGGCCTAGTGGAAGGACCAGGGTGTGAGGAGAGGCACATCCTGGTGAAATGCTTTATTTTGTTCTTCAACTCTAGATAAGATTGAGGAGAAAAAGAGATAAAATGAAGGGCAGTTCCCTTCCTGCTCTAAAATTCTATGAGTCTATGAACTGGAATATGCAGATACGGTAGTAGGATAGAAAAAAGCACAGGACAGAGAATTAGAAGGCCTGGGCTGAAGTCTTGGGTCTCACTTGTGTGAGTAAAGGCAACAACAAATATCCCTCAGTTTATTTACCAATAAAATGAATATGATAATATACCCACTACCTACCTCCCAGGACTGCTATGATAACCAAATGAGATGAATATGAAAATCCCACATAACTTAAGAAGTGCTGTATAAATAAAAATAATTATTATTGGATTATGAGGTATATATGGAAAGTTTGTTTTGATTTAAGGATGATTCCCACCAACCCAGACTCTTGATTAATACAATATTTCCAGGTACAAATTGGCATTCCAAGCCAAAAACTATAGAAGATGAGAGTGTCAGTCGGACTCAATGTATCATATCCTGGATTTTACTCCAGAGGAGAAACCATAATGAAAAGTAAACAAAGAACATAGCCAGTTAGAAAGCAGTGGGAAGAAGTGAGTTAAAATGGTTTTGAGGGAAAATTCTTATTACTTTCCTTCTGCTTTGAAATAAAAACACTAAAGAGAGAATTCAGAATGTCAGAACTGGAAGGGACCCTAGAACACTGAATATTAGAGCTGAAAGGGCTATTAGGCCATAAAATATAGGAATATAAGTGCTGAAAGAGATTTTAGAAATTATGTGTAAGTAGATGAACATGAGTAACTTCAACTGTCTTTTAATCAAGTAATAATTTGAGAGCAGCAGAAGAGAATTGTAGTGATATTTACTACTGACCTGATTCTAACCTTAGATATAGTTCTCTTCAGTCCTATGGACAGTTAAATAAAACCATTTAACAACACTGACAGATGAGTCAGCACCAAGTCATACCACCTTAGGAACTACAGCAACTCACTCAAAATGACAATTGATACTCTCAAGATTTCCTTATCTTCTTTAATAGATAACTCTATTAAAGGAAAAATACATGGAAGAACAAGTCTGATGCAGTAAAAACAGCCCTAGATTAGAGTTTGGAAAACCTGGGCCACTGTGGGCACCTGTGTAATCCTAAGTAAGTTACTTTATCTCTCTGGGGTCCTCAATTTCCTCATCTCTAAAAGGAGAGGTTTTGGATTTCCTGATCTCCAAAGCCCCTTCTAGTTCTAGTATTGTTTTATTTTGTTGTTGTTCAGTCACGTCTGACTCTTCATGACCCCATCTGGGGTTTTCTTGGCAAAGATACTAGAGTGGTTTGCCATTTCCATCTCGTTTTGCAGATGAGGAAACAGAGGCAAATAGGGTTAAGTGACTTGTCCAGGGTCACACAGGTAGTAAGTGTCTGAGGCTGGATTTGAACTCAGGAAGATGAGTCTTCCCAACTCCAGACCTTACACCTTGGGCACTGTGGCGCCACCTAGCTGATTGCCCTTAACATTCTTTAATACGTGACCATTATCTAGATACAGAGTGATAGTGAGAACACAGTCGGAACTGGTTGAGAGACAGGGAACTGCTCAGAAGTCATCCTATTCCAGAAAGTTTTATATGAATTGATACAACGTAAGTAGAACCAAAAACAAAACAAAACAAAACAAAACAACAACAACAACAACATATACAGTAATGTCAATTTGAATTAAAAGAAAAAAGAACTTTATAATTATAATCAACAATCTTGGCCACAATAAAAGGTGAAAAAATACATTTCCCTTTATTCTTTGCAGAAATGCAGAATTACAGACATAGAAAACCCTGTATATACTGTTAGAATTGGTTGATATATTGGTTACTTATATAGAATGGCTCCCCCCACCCCGTTCCTTTTTTTATTTTTTGTTACCATGGCTTACTGGATAGAGGAGGGGTACTTGGAAATAAAGGTGTTGTAAAAATAACACAGCAATAACAATTTTTTAAAAAGTCATCTATAGTTTTTGTGTCAGCAGCACATATACCAAAATTGTAACAATAAGAGATGATTAGCACGGCCCCTGTGCAAGAATGATATGCATATTTGTGAAAAAAATTTTTTTAAATTTAAAATTTTTTTTTAAATTAAAAAAAAAAAATTTTAAAAACTTTAAAAGTCATCTATGGGTTTAACGAGCAATGCTTCTTTCCAGATCCCCTCTCCTCACCATTGAGCTAAAATCCCTTCTGGTACAGTTAGGAATTTTCTCCTAAAGGTCTCAGTAATATATTATATATAATATATAATATATCACTAGCTAGCTAGGCCTCCAGTCTTAGCATATTCGTTAGCATTATTCACACTGGTTAAATTATCATATCAGCTCCTTGCCACTTTCAGTTTCTAGGCATGAAACCTAGGTGCATTTTCACTGGATAGCAGAAGGTAGTTAAAAGGTACCAGTCCCAGGCAGGTCAAGCTTATTCAGTCTACAGAATGGACCCAAGCCTGTAGTACAAGTCCTTGTTTTGACACTTGCTAGCTTTGTGACCTTGAGCAGGTCATTTCTTTCACTAAGCCTTAGTTTTTTCATCTGTATAATGAGGAGGTAGGATTAGATGATCTCTGAGGTCTCTTCCAGTTCCAGCATCCTATGTTCTATGTTCTAGAGTTCTCTAGTCTAAGGTTCCTTTGAACTCTTGAACTCTACTAAATTTCTTTCCCTATAGCATCATATTAGTTTAGCAGAATGACCATAACACCACAGCAAATATGCTAGCCACATGATCAATTAAGCAATAAACATTTATTAAGTACTTATTTTATGCAAACACTGGGGATACAAAGACAAAATAAACACCACCAATTTCTAACTTCAAAGAGCTTACATTCTGTGGGAGAAACAAGTACTCCTATAACTAGATTTATATTTCATATAAATACATATGAAATAAATATAAAGTAAATTCAAGGTTAATTATTTTGGAAGAGGAAGTACTTGGGGGTGGGGGTACGAGGGATGGTACAGAATCAGGATGCTTGAGTTGAGCTTTAAAGGAAGAAACGAATTCTAAGATTGATTTTAAAAAGAGTGCATGAAAGTTTGTACAGTAGTAGGAAGACATGAAGTAGACAATAGATGTTCTTGTCTGATGGACCTAATCAATAAACAAGCACATATTAAACACCTACTATGACATCAGGGACTATGCTAAGTGCTGAGGATATAAAATAGAAAGAATGAAATAATCACTACTTGTAAGAAGTTTATATAAAGAATAAACAAGCACATATTAAACACCTACTATGACATCAGGTACTGTGCTAAATGCTGAGGATATAAATAGAAAGAATGAAATAATCACTACTTTTAAGAAGTTTATATAAAGAATAAATAATTAGAACATAAAGTTAAAGATAAATGGTAATTTGAGGGGGAAGGCACCAGCAGTTGGGTAGCATCAGAAAAGAGTTCATGGAGAAGGTGGTGCTTGAATTCCATTTTGAAGGAAGAAAGGGATTCTGTGAGGAGGAGATTAAGAGGAATTACATTCCAGGAATGGGGGATGGCCAGTACAAAGGGATGGAGATAGGACATAAAATGGATAACAAAAAAAAAAAAGGCTAGTTGGGCTGGATCTCAGAATGCAAGGAAGAGACCCACATACAATAAGGCTGGAAAGATAGGTTGGGGTGAGGTTGTAAAGAGGTTTAAAAGATAAGCAGAGTTTATATCTGATCCTCCAAGTAACGGAGCCACTGGAGCTGATAGAATAGGGGAGTGATATAGTCAGATCTGCATCTAAGGAAAATCACTTTGGCAGCACAATGTGTCTGATGGACTGGAGTGGGAAGCAATTTAAGGTAGGGAGGCCAATTAGGAGGCAGTTGCAATAATCTGATCGAGAGGTGATAAAGGTCTGAAGTAAGGCGGTAATAGTGAGTAAAGAGAAAAGGCCCTGATGTGACAGCTTCACGACTATAGAAACGACAAGATTTGGAAACTGATTGGCTATGTGTGGTGAGAGAGAAGGAGTTCAGGAAACATCCACATCCTTATTTCTCCCTTCCCTGCCTGGGGATTCCTGCGCCATGAGGCACCTAAAGAAGCTGCCACGCCATTCATGCTCACTTCTAACTTGGCTCCCATCCTGATTTCTACAGGCTCCATCTCCATTCCAGCTGGATCCGGGCCCCTGTGGGCCCTCCCACAGATTTTCACCTCTCCTCCCTTCCTTTTGAGCTCCCTTTTGTGTGTGTTTTTTTTTCCCTACAGAATGTAAGCTCCTTGAGGGTGGGGACTGTCTTTCATTTAAGTGCTTAATAAATGCTTTATCTAATATAATCTGATCTTGTACAATTTCAAATTGAAAACCAAAATGCTGGAACCAATTCACAATTCTACCAATGGAGTTATCAATATGATGCCTTCCCACAGCACCCCTTAACATCAACTATTTCGTTTTTTGGTCATTTTTGCCAATCTGTATGTTGAGAGAGGTGAAGTCTCAGAGTTGTTTTAATGGGCATTTCTTTTACTTTTGGTGTTTTGAGCACATAGGTACTTCTATCTTGCAATTTTTCTTGGGCAGCTATATGGTATAGATAGAGTGCTGAGCCTGAGTTCAGGAAGATCTGAATTCAAATCTAGATTGAGACACTTACAATGTGGCCCTGGGCAAGTCACTTAGAACCTCTGTGTGCTTCAGTTTCCTCAACTTTAAAATGGGGATAAAAATAGTACCTATCTCACTTGGATGTTTTAAGGCTCAAACTGATTGTAATGTTTGTAAAAGAACTTAGCACAGTGCAAATGCTTATTCCCTTTTCTTTCTCCCTTCTTATGAATTATGTTCACATCCTTTTGAACAGGTACTTAACGGGAAATTTCTCTTGTTTTATTACTTATCTCCATTCCCTATATATTTGGGATATCAGATTTTGATTGATACTTAATGCAAATATTTTCCCATTTCTCATAATTTTCTCTGCATTAATTTTATTCATGCAAAAGCTTTAAATTTTTTTGTAAAGGGCAAGAACTATGATTTGTATCCCTAGTGCTTAGCACAATACATATTGTAAAAGCTTAAAAATGTTTGTTGACTAAAGTCAAATTTTTCTGTTTTCTCTTTTATGAACTCCTCTATTCCTTAAGGGTCCTCTCATCTTGTCATAGCTATAAAATCTATGTTGTCTCTTTTCTGTTTTATGGTGTGACTATTTATATTCAAGTCACATATACATTTTAAGTTTATTGTGGCATATGGCTTAATAATATGATAATTGATCACATTAATATATCATTATATAACATTAAACAATAAAACACTCTACATGATCTAATTTGTAACAAATTGCTTTTCCTATAAAATGCTTTTCTCAAGCAGTTTAATGTAAACTTTCTCAAAGCAGAAGCTGTTTCTGTTTTGAGTGTCTGCCCCTCCTGTTCCTAACACAGTCTTCTAATATGTACGTGTTTATTAAACCTTTGTTACCCTTTGCTTAGGAAATATTGACTAGACCATCTTTCTAAGGTTCCTCCAAGCACTCTATTCTATGACCCTATAAATAAGGTGATAAAAATACTATCACTTCTCTTTTACAGAAGATTAGACAGTGGTTCATGAAAGGTAAATGAAATGTCCAAGGTCACACAGCTAAAAGTATCACAATTAGGACTCAAATCCAGGGTCACAGCCTCACAGGATTTCTGTCAGGTAAGCAAACGAGCCTGTTAGACCTTTGTTTTGTGCCAGGCATGGTGCAGGGCATTGGGTGTATAATGGAAGTCAAGGTTTTGGAGCTAGAAAGAGAAACAAAAATCAAGAGAAGGAAGTGGCCTGCACACAATGTTGCACAGCAAATTAGAGGCCGAGACAGAGCTAGAAGCTAGAATGCCTGACTTCTAGGCTTCAGTTGCTTGTACTATGCCCTTGGCTTCCTCTTAGTAAATAGTCTTACTAGTGTAAAAATCTATAGGTTATTCATTCAAATGACAATCATAAAGCATCTATTAAGCACCCACTAGATTATTGAAACTTAAGTTAAATACTGGAGATACAAATACAAAAGTATTTGTACCCAAGTACAAAGTACAAAGTATTGTACCCAAGTACAAAGTACAAAGTATTGCCCACAGAGAAGAACATACAAAATGGTGACGAGAGTGCAGGATTCCTGAACTTTTTTTTTTAGTATTTTGATTGTCATATTTCAATATACTTGGTTTCCTTTATACTATATATTTTATTTTATGCGTTCAGAAAAATTGCTCTTGAGAAGGGCTCTCTTCACTTCCCAAGACTGTCAAAGGGATTCATGACACAAAAAAGTCAAGAACCTCTGGCCTAGGGGAATCAGGAAAAGTCTTTTAAAGGAGATGGAATTTGGGCTGCGCCTTAAAGGGGACCAAGGAAATTCAAGAGGTGGGGGTACGAAGAGAAAGCATTCTGGTCAAGTGGGACAGCCTGTGCAAAAGGGCTTGGGGGTGAGGTGGGCCAAGACAGAACATCATGTAGCAAGGAGGGAAGCTTGGCTGGGTTGAAGAGCATGGGAAGGAAAGTAATGGTCAGCTTAGCAAAGTCTGCTGAGAAACCAGAACTTTCCCTAAAGCTGTTCTTGAAACTTCACCAGATAACACTCTAATCGCCAGCTGATAAATAAATTCAGCATACAATGTTTAGAATAAAGCTAACATGGCTTTGTAGTTGCATCACACATACGCACAAGATCATAAACCAGAGTCTATCTGGCTTAACTGATGTACAAATTGCAAGGGAAGAAGCAGCCACTGTATCCCCGAAAGCAGCCCAAAATCGAGATAGGTAAAGAACTCAGAAATACTGTTTTCAGGATAAAAAGAGTAAATATATGCACAAGATTTGGAGTCAGGATCTTTTTTCAAATCTCTTTTCTGCTAATTAACACCTGTGTCACTTGAGCATGTTGCTTCTCCTTTCTGTGCCTCAGTTTCCTCATCTATAAAATGTGGGAACTGAACAAGGGATTACAATGGATTCCTGGCCCTGCCATTCTACATCCTTTAGAGTTCAATTTTTAAGGTAGACCATCTGGTGCACAGTACAGACAGTTCTCCCTTTATGACCTTCTGCATATCTC